ATTTTGATGTTAACAATGGGAGGGCTGCATGTGAGGCATGCAGTGCAACGTGGAATTTGGGTACCAACTCAGCATTTGCTCTAGTACCGAGGAAAACCACGGAAAACCTTGGTCGAGCTGGTCGGTCTCAGGACCTTCCGGATGCAAACTGACTTCTAGCCAGCAGTCCGGCTTAAATACGCGAACCCTAACATTAGACCCTGTCTGTCCTGTTGCTTTAGTTTAAAAGTTTACATATGTGTTTCTACAGTTTTTTTTTCTTTTGCATACTTTGGATGAGCAGCAAACATTTGTGTATCACATTTGTAAAGGGTTGTAACTGTTCAAGTATTGATAAATTTAAAGCAGATTTCCACTGCTTTCATTAATTCAGGTATGGCAACCATGTAAACGTATGAGGCATGAGAAACACAAGAAAATAAGGTACAAAATTAATTAATCAATTAATTAATAATAAACTTAGCTGAAACTAATCGAAGCTACAACAGGTCCTCGTTATATAGGCTCCGCACGGACTACACAGAAACACAAGTCACGTGATTGCTATCTCGCCAGTCCATTGGCGCGCTGACTGCTGCCTAGCAACGAGCTGTAAAATTCGTCCTATTGCGTGCGCGCTTCGCGGGATGTTTATCGAGCCGTTGCCTAGAAACGGGCGGCATATTTACATTGTTCTGTTGCGTGCGTGTATTTCGGACGTTGCGTAGATGTGGATTTACATGTCACAATACCTACTAGTGCATAATAGTGTGTGGGAACTGCCCACATTGAAGCAAGTGTGACAGCGCGAGCTTCATTGCTTAGCAACGACGAGTAAACAGCGGTTGCTAGGCAAAGCCTACAACAATACGGACAGTGACATGTTTTCTATATGTCCGACTCTAGGTTACATAAGAAGATACATTGAGTGGTAAGTATATGTAAATACTGACAATGGACATACTAATACGGACTATGACTGACAAATGACAGACCCGACCTCTTGTCAGAGAGGGCGCCCCAAATGAGCAGGACAGTAACTTTCATATAAGAAAAAAAAAAGACTGGGGCTCGACACCAAGACAGACAGACTGACGGACTGTCAGTCGCAATGTGACTTGGACTTGACCTTGGGAAGTTACAGTTACANGAATGTTAGTGTTAATGCTGCAGTCTTGTGGAAATGAGCCGTGGAGTGAGACGGTTATGTAACAGCGGGATTTCTTTTAATGTTCACTGGCTTTTTTATTTCATCCTTGACAGTTATTCCCGCCAATACCGATTCATTTGAAGGGCATGTAAATTTAAGTAAAAGAAAAATACACACCACGAATTGGCTTAGAAAGTGACCCTGTCCGCCTTACGTCACGTTCAGCTAGAAACGAATCGTGACGTATCGTAGCGCACATAATATCCGATTTATGTCGGGGGTGCGTTTCTAGAAAATGCAACTTCCGCCCCCCCCCCGAAATGACGTATATTAATGTGACAGTGTTATTTCGCCACGATTGGGGGAGACGAGGAATGCATATAGGGTGTTGGTGGGAAAGCCAGAAGGAAAGAGACCACTGGGAAGACCAAAGCGTAGGTGGGTGGACAGTATTAAAATGGATCTTAGATAGGATGGGATGGTATGGATTGGATTGATCTGGCTTAGGATAGGGACCAGTGGAGGGCTCTTGTGAACGCGGTAATGAACCTTTGGGTTCCATGAAATGCTGGGAAGTTCTTGAGTAGCTGCAGAATTGGTGGCTCCTCCAGAAGGGCTCAGCTCCATGAGTAAGAAAGTAAGTGTTATTTCGCCAGGTTGATCATGTCATGTCTGTGCGAGCCGCAAACAGAACATGGAAATATTTTAAAAACACGTGGATCCATATTTATTTCGGGAATGCTAGATAGAAAATTGGTGGAAATCTATAGAAATTGTGTGATTTGAGTTAAAAAGAAGTGACTTTGATCACGCTGTGTTTTGTTCAGCCGGAAAACGCGAATGAATGTGTATTGCAGGCATCACGCCAACGGGGAGTGGATTTGTAGCTCCAAGCATTCTTAACCCCCGTCGTCGAGTGGTTAGAACCCCCCTTTTTTTTCCGTATTCCCGAAATCATGGTATCGGTTCTATGACTAGGGATTGCGTAACTTGCCTCATTTTCTCCAGATGCATGCTTTGATGCTACCTCATGTTAACCCACGACCACTTCCTTTCAAACTCGTTTCACACCAGTCATCATACCTTTCGACACTACGTGTTCTGAGCTACTAAAAGCGTCGTTAAGTAAATTTTAATGTCGTCTCAAGATGGAGGTGAGTTGTCATCTTCACGTCTGATCGCCCATGTACCCCCCTCAAAAAAAAAGTGGCCCCCATCTAGCTAGGCCCCAGGGCCGGTATTGATGCGATGACGAAAGCAAAAGTGTTTAACGAAGTGCAATTCGGACTTTTCCGCACTGTGATTCCTTTTCACGTAACAGTGGGGTTTTGTCTGCGGTAAATGAACAATAAGACCGTTGAGGCATGAAAAATCTCAAAGAACACGCGCGAGAAGTGTTATGTACTCCGTTGTACTCTTACTATCTCGTGTCACGGTAAGTTTGCACATAAAAACCTGTTCTTCAAAATGAATGACTGTCAACACAAAATGGCGTCAAACTTACCGTCGATGTGGCTTGATTCCGGTAATTCAGCTCAAGCGATGGTTCGACGTCAGTTGTACTGCTTCTGTCACGGCTACTGATGTTCCTCCTTCCCAACGCACAACCACACTGCAGCCTTATAGGGGAGCTGGCACTCTTTAGCGGCCTCGCACTAAAGTCGTTTATTTGTTGCTACAAGTTTCTCACAGAACACTCTGGACCACGTGATGATGGTCAAGTATTGTGTGTGTCCATATTCGCTACCATTTGTTTTATATTCCTTTTTAGCTTTCAGTTTCCTTGTTATGAACCTAAATGTACATATATACATTAACGGGGATTGGCGTTACAGTCTGTACCGGCAGATGTCAGTGCTACAAGCAAAAGTACCGGGACCATGTGGAACGTGACATAAGGTCGTTTTTATCGTGTACGTAATTATAGCTATGAACTTTTCAAATGCTGAATCGTGCGCTAAGGGGATGACGATAATCGCGTAGTTAAAAGGAAATGACGTTACAGCCGTAAGCAGACAGATCGAAAATTAAACAGGTGGCAAATTCCGCTATTTCCAATGAGCGTGAAATATTGGCAAAAAGAATACTTTCTAAACTGTTCTTTTCAAGTACTTTCATGAGTGTGTTGTTTTATTGAAGTGAAATAATGGTAAAAAGTAAAGTTATCCCTCTGAGTAATTAATGAAGCGCCACGGCATGAAGACGTGGAGTGGAGGAATAGCTCCACCATTCTTGACCTCGGCATTAGTTTGAGCTAACTGATCAGCTTCACTTCCCGACCGCTTTACCGCTTGTTTAAGCACAGGGACAGCTTTATGTTGTCTCTGCTTAGGTAACACATGGAGAACCCTCGGAATTGATTTTTATGTAATTTAATATTACGCCGTGCGCTGCAATTCGTCGGCATATTCAAATTCTGGTTATATTGTGACAACAGTCACCAACGGCGGCAGACAGCATGGGGATCGCATAAGCCTACGCTCCTTATTTTAGAAAAATGAAAGTACTTTCATGCTGGGGCACGCGGTGGCGTAGTTGGTTGAGACACTATGCTACAAGCCGGAAGGTCGTGGGATTGAATCCCGATGAAGTGGATTTTTTCAATGGACCTAATACTTCCAGCCGTACTATGGCCCTGGGGGTTGACTCAGCCTCTAACAGATATGAGTACCAGAAATATTCCTGGGGGTAAAGGGCGGCCGGAGCGTAAGGCTGACACCTCACCGCCATCTGTGAGCCGATTGTATAGAAAATTTGGGGGCCTCAACCTCTCACAACCCTATGGGCCTCCACGGCCTGTTACAGGGATACCTTTACTTGTTTTTTATTGCTAGTGGGGTGGGACTAAGTCCCTTGTACTGCGGCCACTTCTGGCCTATTGTACCAGCCCCAGATGATAGGTGAGGGTGATTGTGGAGCAATTGGTGGAATGAAGATTGGCAGGAGAAACCGAAGTACTCGGAG